TTTCTTCAGCTCTTGAGTCAGAGTATTGACAAACTTCAGTTGCTAACGTCGAAAAAAAGAACAATTAGCATTCTAGAGGCCAAGTCGTGGTCGCTTGACCTTGGAAGCAACCACGACTTGGTTTTCTCCTGCAGTGCTCTGAATCATTTGTATCCGCTGCTTTTTGCCTCGCAAATCATGTGTTCCTTCCACTGCGTTTCGCAGCGATCCATGCGCCTCGCTGGGTGAGAAACCGGGGGGATTGAACTGGGATGGGGCAAGTCAGGGGAACTCGGGGCAAGGCTTGCGAATCTGGAATCCAGGGGAAAGGTTTACATGAGAACCATCAGTGAGTACCTCGCCTCGCTCATCGTCAGCTGGGAGGTTTGCACATCGTCAGGGTCATCATGCTGGCTCCAAGTGGCCGTAACTTCGGAAGCAATCGAAGTACACCTGCAACTGGTCGACCACCCCCCGCCCGAGCAAGAGTTGGAGCCTCTTTTGGGCGAAGTGACGTGGACAAAACCTGAACCAACTGAGCAAATCAGGGCTACCACGAGCTTCCCTAAGCTACGATTCACTGCAAATATCTGCAAACTGCAAAGATCACTTGTAACATGGCACTTGCCATCATTCGCAGGGGCGTTCTAGGATGGACGGACCATCAATCCCCCCACAAAATATAAACCTGCCTGCTGTAGTGGTTTGTTGGCTTATCCCTGCTGCGACAGAGATCTATGCACAGATGTTCAGTGTGGATGCTGGAAACTCCATGGTCTCTCCGAGTCTCTCCCTGCCCGTTCCAGCTTTTCTCCTCTCTCCGATCGTCTCACGGGCGAGCGGAAGGCGCCACCCAAAACTCCCAGATCGGCAGAACCAGCTCTCCAGTGGCGATACGTCGCCGTAGATACACTCGGAGACTCGGAGACTACACTCCCTAAACCTGGAAGTGGAGTGAAAATCCCGCTGTTTGTAGAGGAAAATGGTCCCCAGGGACCATGCTATCCACTTCCAATGTTAGTTCCAGGAAGTGTACGTGCATCCTTTCCCCCAAGACGTGATGCCCCCCTTGTTTTCGAAGCTGTGAGGGGTGCGAAAGCCCAACTCTAGCTTTCGGTGATAGGCCTAATGTATCGGCTTAGGTTCCGGCTTTAGAACATGTGCTGATGTTCAAAAGGATATATGCATAAGCCGACAAAATGTGCTTTTGCTGTTTCATAAGTTCACAATGAATGAAGACCTGTTTCGACCTTTACACTCATGTTCAGTAGGGATTGTTGTTTCTGTAGGGATTGTTGTTTCTGTGCCGTGCGAACATGTGTTCGAAGAGCATGACGAGGCTCACATTTAAGCAAAGTCATTCCAATACAGTCTCTGCAACTCATTAAATTTCTCAAGCGAAACGAAGCAACCAAAAGTTGATCGTGTTGGGTTAACTCCTTCACATCAAATAATGATTCGATCATCCAATATTGCTGTAAATCCCATCCAACTACTCATGAGCAATGGTCCCAGCATAACATGAATAAGTTTTCCCAACCAATGAAGCCTTGCAACATCCTCAAAGGGGTGCCAACAAAAACAGAAGCACCAACAAAGTGTGAGGATCCATGTATTGGTCATTGGTTCTGAGATGCACCTGACAACTCTGTCTTTCTTGTTGCGGTGTCGTGGTGGTTGTTGTTTTTGCACCCTTTTGAGGCTTTGAGGTTTTTGCACGGCTTCATTGGTTGATAGATGTTGATAGTTTGTTGGACATTGTTTGTGCTTTTCAAGGTTATGCAAGTAAGTGTTGGTTGCCTTGGGTTTCAGCAAGTGTTTACTTCAGGTTGCAGAAAAAGCCAAAGGATGTGCTTGCAAAAAGATACTTCATGGCAAAGGGTACCTATGTAACTGTAACAGTATGTATGTATGGTGGATATACAGTAATCGTGTTGATTCATCTCAATGATTTGATGCATCTCAGTTCATTGACCATAGTTACAAAGTACTTCAAGTTCCCGAAAGTGTGGCTACCAAAGGGTGGCAGAGAATCATCGAAGCTTATTACAAACAACATCAAACAACAGCCACCGGGGCCACCGGTATCCCGGAAACATAAGCTACCACATCGACGTTGCATGATGCTCGGAAGTCACCACTGGATCGATTGGAAGTCGGCACCAGCTCTGGCCGACCAGCTGTTGCGCAGCGCAGGACCTTTGCACCCCGCAGGTGTTGGGCCAAGGAGCCGTCAGATCACGCCGAACCTCAACCTCTCCACCATGTCCAGCGCTTGAAACGGTCCGGCCCGGTTCAGTCTGATGCAGGTCCAGTCTCATCCTGTAGCTCATTGAGCTCGTTGAGTAGTATCAACATTGATCAACTCCAGTCAAATGAAATCCTTAGGTCTTGAACTGGTGAATCGACCGGTCAACCGAACCTTTGTGGTCAACCGACGGAAAAAACCCAACCGTCGCGGGCGCCGGGACCCGAGAGGCTTCGCCGGGCGAGTGCTGTGTTGGGCACGTGGGTCACCGATGTCAAGAAGAGTTCCCCATGAAACCAGTCCTAGACACGACTAATGGGACGATCAGTTGAGGTGGTTTTGGAGGTCAATGGGGCGGCAGTCCTATGGCAGTCCCATTGGAGTGATGTCCTTTTGGGAAGGTCATGAGGGGTCATGAGGGGTCGGTTGGGTACCATTTGCCTATTGCTTGTACACGAAGGAGAAGGCGTCCCGTCTATGGATCAACCAACCAATAGTAAAAGGCCATCTATGCATGAAACGTGCTGAAATCACGTTCCGACTCTGGAGCTTAAAAGACATCCCGTCGAAGAGCGAACATGCAGAATGATCCGTCTCTGCAAAGGTTTCATGAATCAAGAGTCTTCTGTTGCTGCTATCCCCCTTCAACCTGGGTCGAAACACTTGAGTCGTCGCCAGAATTGGGGAGATCCCATGAACAGGGCCCAGTGGATGATGAACGATGATCATGCTTAGGTTGCAGGAATTTCCATCTCAACAAAAATTTTTAGTGATTCTTGTTACTAGTAACAAGTGCCTTACTAGTAGTAACAGGTGCATCGCTACTAGGAACAGGTGCATCGCTACTAGTAACAAGTGCCTTTCTTGTTCATGTTCTTTTGCCGACTTTTAGGCCAAGACAATTGAGCACCAGCAGAAAAGTCATCGTGAACCAACGTATCTCTCTTTCTGTGGTCTTTCTTTCTGTGGTCGTTCTTTTTTAGCTAGTTTTGTCTTTTCTTTTCATTTATGTCTCTTCCTTCCTTCCTTCCTTCCTTCCTTCCTTCCTTTTCCTGGTGTGCTTTCGTTAATAAAAAAAATGTTCTATATATTATTATATATATATATATGTGTGTGTGTGTGTGTTTCAACTTTGACGAAGTCAATCATGGGTTGCGAAGTTCGCATCTTCTGTCCATGGACCAAAGCCATTCGCCATCGAAGGCCAGGTGAAAGCACTACCAAGCAGTGGCCCAAGTTCCCAATCTATCATAGGTCATAGGTGCCTTTTTGGGGGGCTCAAGAAATGTCAAGGACCCCCCCCCATATGTTGCATCTTTTGAAAACCCACTCCCACCATCAGAATCACTGTCCTTTGAGTGCCAAATGCTCTGGGTCGCCCTGAAGAGCGGTCGGCACTGACCTTCTGTGGCGGACAGTGATGCATTCAGCATTCGCCCGGGTTTTCCACCCATGGCGCAGAGCTTGCCCCTGGCGCAACCTTTGTCTAAGTCTAAGTGAACACCCGAAGCCACATCCTGAAGCCGATTGAAAGCATCTTCAGTGTCCGCCTAAAAGAAAGATGTGGAGCATGGTAATTGCACATCTTGAGTTGTAAATCTATACTGCCCTTAAAACAATCGAGGGTAGTGTTTAACTGCGGAGTCCGGTCAATATTTTTTTGGAACATGACATTTAATTGGATGTCCTATTGTTTCCAGACTTGATTGATTTCATCTGGTGATGGCCAACAAAACGATATAACGATGCAGAACACTCCCTTGTTAGTTCAATCCATCCCATTGAACAATTCAACAGTTCCTTGGTTTTCCTGTGGCCTACCATGCACACTCATGACTAAGGAACCCTTAGTGCAAAAGGGTGAACTGAAGTCGCGGGACTGAAGTACAAGCTCATGCCAAGTAGGAACGAACATGGAGTGGTGAAGAACATAGAGTGCCAATCAACAAAAGGATTGCGAAAACAAAACAAGGTCCTTGACAGAGTTTGGAATCTGAACAAGGTCCTTTTGGGTTGGCTCATGTTGGCGTTAAGGAAGAAACCGGCAGGCCTCTCCGTATATATGCCCGTGCCAAGCACGTCGTGCCAGTGCCAACTTCAGGATGGGCCTCTGCGGCACGTCGTGCCGAAAAGATTCGGGGCCCTCATCGCACACAAAAAGGAAAGAGCTGAGCTCCGTTTGAGCTGAGACCAGGTTGACACGAAGCTTAGACCTTTTTGTGTGCTTCGACCCTATTTTGGGGTCGTTCTCTGGTGCTCATCCGGTCATTCTCCGTCCGCGGATTCTCGCAGAAATGACACCGCTGAGTGGATGGCCAAGAGACATGTAGATCATGTCCACTTCGGGTAGCTTAGTAAAAGTGGTGCGGTCTGCCGTGTAGGATGGTCTATGATCATAATACTGTCGTGATAGATGATGAAATATCGTGAATATGAATTAATAAATTCAGCTGGGTGATACTGTTGATCGACAATCCCTCCTCTACCACCTAGGATGCACTTGTTGGTGATGATGATGGAAATGATCATGATATCCTCGAGGTGAGATGGTGTAGGATTAGCTGTCCGAAATGTGACAGAATCTGGTTTCAGAGCAAACCTGACAGGAATCAAACTCAATGGCTTATGGCAACAAAGGAAGATCTATACTACAAGCCTCTTGAGCTTCTGGAGCCTCTTGGGCCTCTGACTCGTTTTTGATCTCGAGTCACATGATGAAAAGTCACAAAGGCCGGTGAAATATCTCGCAGCCGCTCAGTTCGCTGAGTTTGCCTCATTGCAACTGGTCCGGAGGCTTCTCTAAGCACTTGTGAATTAGTCGCCGTGCCCAGGGATGTCGCAAGGCTTCCAGCTGCAGCTGCTCCCGCACGGCATCCAGTTCTCGAGGAGGCGCAAGTAAAGGTAGGACCTACCCACGTGGCGAAACTCAAAAAGGTAGCGATGGCCTCCAACCTACTGGTGATGGCCTCCAACCTACTAGCGATGACCTCCACCCTAGTAGCGATGACCTCGAACCTACAGCTCCAAAACGGTGGACACATGGCAGGTGGGTCATAGCAGGATACCAACCGGGCACGACCTAGCCTGTTTCTTTTGTTCGGTACATGGTGGACCAGGGCTCCAAGTTGAATGACCCATCCCGACAACATCATCCCGAAACTCTCAAAACGCTTTCCATGATGGGATTGTTGAGACCAATCTGCTGGGGTCAGAAAGCAGTTTGAAGATACAAATTGATACTTGACATGTTCCTCAAAATGAACTAGTCCACCAACTCCCGTTTCAGCTCATGGATGGCGGATGGATGCGTATTTCAAAGAGACCTCCCAGGCAGTTCGACCGCTTTACAAGGTTCGGAAAATGGACCCAAATCATTTAGAACCCACTGGGTGAGGGGAGTCTCCTTATCTTCAAAAAGAAACCTAATTACACCCTACACCCTCCTCCTCTCATCCTCATCCTCCTCTCTACCGAGCTGCCCGTTCCTTAATCCGCTCGCGCGTGTGCTTGCGGATGCCCCGGACGGAGGAGCGACGCGTCACGTGACTCTCGTGGCAGTAGCAACAGCGGTCCGCCAGGCTGCAGCCGACGGCAGAGGGGTGAAAGACACCTGGACCCATGCAACGAGGGCCCCGCCGAGGTAACCGAACACGAAGGGGAACCGAACTCGAACCTGGGGGACCGTTCGATTTCGACATCCGATGTGCTTGAAGAACCAATGAGTCTGCAAAAGAAGACCTTCCTTTCGGCCAGCAGTTCGGGCCCTTTTCCGGAGGAGCGGTTCGGAGCCCGTCCTGAGGCGAACAGCAAGCCGCGAACAGGTTCTGGCGCCGCACAGGTTCTTGTGCATTTACCCTTCAGGAATCTAGTGACACAAAGACTATTATAGGGGCTCTTTCTGGGTCCCAAGCATTATCCTTTCTGTATAAATCTGCAGGTCACCCAAGCCGTCGATGTTGCATCTACATATTATTAGAACCAGGTAGAACAACCTTTCGATCTGCGGTTAGTCCATGTTCATGGGGAGCTGGTATGAAGGACTAACCATGTCACATTGGGAATCAAATCTGGTCGGACTCAAAAATTGGACTTTCAACTTTCAACTACCAGTATCCTCCAAAAGGTCTGATCTGGTGGCTTTTGGAGACTTAAAAGTGGCAGAATGGTGACCTGTAGAGTCGGGTGCTGTCACCGAATCTCAAAAATCCCAAGCTTTTCTGTTCGGAGGATAACCCAATCCAGGGCACATGGTCGACATGTGCCACTCACATGCGCTTCAGCACCGCTGAAGGCTGACGGTGCCAGATCGTCGGCGTTCGTCGCTGCAGTGAGTGTGCGGAAGGAAGGGGCCTCCTGGAGAGGGACGTGCTCTGCCCGGCGTTGGATAATTTCTGAAGAAGGATACCTTTTTAGGGCCAAATAGGAGTTTCCTTGGATAGGGATGGATACGGCCTGTATATAATTACGCAAATTGTTCTATCTTAGGCGAAGTACCCGGGATTTGTATAAATTCTTGCAGGTTATGAAACCCTGAACACTGTTTGGATGTGTCTGGTCTTGGACATGGGCCATGGGACCTGGGACCTTCGCACTGTTGGGGACCCCTGAGATCGGGAATGTGCTGAAAACATTAGGTGACGCTTCAGCAGCCTGAGGCGTTCCGCGACACAACGATGACGAGTCGCGTTGGCCCTCCTTCCGACGCACGACGGGTGCCCACCCCTCGTTCAGCCGAGCCGAGCGCGGTAAAACCGCTCCTGAGATGCGTCGGCCCTGGGGCAGCCGTTCCGTGCTGGTCTCTCACCTTCGCTGTCGCTCGAGGAGCCCAAACTCAAGCGATTCACCTTCCTAGGCGGAGTGGGCGGAGTGGGCGAAGCAGGCAGTGGACTGGTGCAGCTTACCAAGGCCCACAACATATCGGCCACCTCAAATGGTACGGATTGAAGTGAACAGAACATCTTGCCCTTCCAGTTCTTCACCAGGTGGCCAGGACATCGCAAATCATATGCCTTCTTTGATATGTTACCTTATTCAATCCTTTTCATCTTTTTTCCCCTCTCCCGGGCCCCCCGATCGTCTCCTGCCCTTAGGGTCCTTGGATTCCAAAAAATCCGAAACTCGCTGGCCACAACTCCCTCAAATGGGGAAGAATCCGTCCCAAAGACTGCACTCTGACTCACTAACATGGAAATAGAAGATGGTCCTGCGGAAGACTACTGTCCTTTTATGAACAGGGGGCCCCACTTCCATGGGATGTGTTCGTCCAAGGGTGACCCTTTGTAGTGTTGCGCGACATGGTGCGACCTTCGGTGACTCCTCCACACTTGGCTTTCTTTTGTGTCGTGGATTTAGAATAAGAAGTGTCAAAGTCGAAAATCAGAGTCAAAGATTCCCAGACCATCCATGCTGTAACTATGATGAAAGTGATGATGAAAATCCGCTGACCCCGGTTTAGGCCGATGAACGTGAGCGTGAGCGGAGCGGGGCCGGCATGCACTGGTGGGTGGTTGCAGATGGTGGCTGTTGCTGTTGCTGTTGCTGTTGCTGTTGCTGTTGCTGTTGCTGT